GATGCCGACTACGATGCCGGCGAAACGTTTGAGAATGTATCAAGTCCACTGTCAGATGCTGAGAATAATGGCAACTACTATGACAGACGACTTCGGACTAGGTGCGTTCTACATAGTCCCCCTGACAACAAGACCAAGTTGTGAGAACGAGGTCAACCCACTTCTATAAATTGAAATGCGACTGCGACCATAACAGAGGCCACAACATCTTGGTCTTCATATATTCTATGGTACTTTTACTTTAATTTTTTTAGTTAGAAATATACGTAAGAGGTAAGATAGAGCCGGACCTTCTTATTGACCTAGTGAGATCGACTGTCTAAACATATGCTGAATGAGTATAATGAAAGAAAGAGTTAAACGGAAAAGTCAAAATCAAACATTAAGGCGATTGGCAAATGTCGAGAAAGCCGAAGAGTTCAAGGGCTATAAAGGTCAGGTGTAGGTTACAATAAATAGTAACAAGAAAGCATAAATATATATATAAATATATAAATATATAAATATATAAATATATAAATATATATATATGCTGGTAACAGCGTTATCTATAAAAAGAAGGATAATGTACATTTAAATAATAAAGAAATGTTATCATATATATATATATATATAATCGACTTTTATAGTCCCTGAACTCCTCGGCTTTCTTAAATTTTATCAATGTATACATATATATATATATAATTATTATAAAATGAACCTACTTTTGCCCATGGAAGCTCCTCAATAGCTCTGTAGAAGACTGGCTTTACAGCCTGACGCTGCGATCGCCGATCTACACCCTTTCCACATGACCAAATGTCCCCACCGCTAATATTATTTCTGTCACTGGAAACGTTCAAGTTTGAGCTTGAGTGATGAACCTTCAACCCAATTGTTGAGGGATAGCGCGTAATTGTCAAAAGGGCTTCAGCTGTCCATTCGAAAGACATGTAGGCACGCCATAGCACGACACGAAGTCGTTCGTGCCAAAGAGTAGAACGAGTGCAAGCTAAGCATGCGATATGAACGTGAGCTCTTAGAGGACGCCCACAGTTGCTAAGTGAGCGCTCAAAAAGAGCTCTTAATCGCAAAGTAGCTTGGAAAAGATGAAGAGTGTCTGAAACCGCAATTATATTTTTCCGACCTTAAAAAAGACATGAGACAAAAGGTAAAACAACATATATATAGAAACATATAGAAATGATCATGATAGTAAATGACAGTAAATCAATAATTTGCATGGGAAGATGGCAATTCATATTAATAATCAGAGTTCATCTGTTTATCAAGCTTTATAATAATAAGCAAGTTCACCAAAGGACTTATGACAAATATCATACCAAAGTATGGATTTTTAAAGGATGTTTGACCTTGTTTTCTCAACTTGGTCATATTGGTAGGAAGACTTAGAGAAACGAACATAAGCTGCTGTCCATTTCATTTCAAGAAGCGAACCATGGACGTGGTACATAAAACATTTAAATAAACAAGTTAAAAATGGTGATGATGAAGGCGAAATACGAGGATATAGAAGTGAAAAGCTCATGAAAGAAGGAGATATAACATAACAGTTTAGCACACATTTGGTCAAAGGATCGGATTCACTTGTCTATTTGACGAGTTGTAGTGTGATGCTAAGAATGGCAAGACCCGCTGAAGATGCCAGCGGAATGTGTGGGAATGTATCACGTCGTGCATACAATGGACTCAGGACTAGATGCGTCCCTCTAAGTCTTACAACCAATATGACCAGGGTGCGAAAACAAGGCCAAACAACTTTTATACAACGAAAGTAGACTACGACCACACAAAAGGACACACTATCTTGATCTTCATACCTTCGATTAAACTATAGATTTTTAGAAGTTGTTTGATCTTGTTTTTGCAACTTGGTTATATTGGTAGGAAGACTTAGAGGAACGCACCTTGTCTGGAGTCCATTGTATGCATAATCATTTCCAAAGTCAGACCGTGGATGTGGTACATTCCCAGACATTTCGCCGGCATTGTCAGTGAGTTTTGTCATTCGTAGCACCACATTACAACTCGTCAAAGAGACAAGTGAAGCCGATCCCTGGGCTAAATGTGTGCCCTGGCCTACACAGATTTCCAATATCCTCCTATCACGCCTTCACTGTAACAATTTTTTACTTGCTTAATTAGATGTGGTACGGTGTGCCCTTTTAAGTGGCACTACACACTGGCATTCTCACCCCCCTTCATCCTTGTGCTGGGAATGTTGATCAGAATGTGCCATATTATTACGCAGTCCTCCTTTCCTAGGTCTTACCAGAGTCTGCTCTTGCCCCATAGGATCGGTCTTCCCTCTCCCTGGTTCACATATTTCACTCGAGCCCTGGCACCCCATCTCTGCCACTCAAGGCGTTATTCGCCCTCCCCTGGGCCTGGGTGACTAATCCGATGCTTTAGCTTCTGAGTAAGTCTCATGGTCAGGCATTTGCCACATAGACCACGTCTCTTATAAAACCTAATGTCAGTCCACTAGCTCCCATCGCCGCCGCGTCTAACCTGTTTATACCTCTAATACCAAGTCTATGACTTCCCATGCCTTAGTCTCTTGA